AACTGGTTTGCTCCACTTCAGCATAAGAAGATGTGGAATCTCATCTGGGAAGCACCAGGCCCTCTTAGGTATGGAAAGCAAAGCTCAGAGGGGTTACGTGATCTACCCAAACCACACAGAATGAAATAGGTGCCAGCCCTGTTCCCGGGAGGCTCCTAGTTTGAGAGTGACTGGGCATTGCTAGACAGAATTCGGCTCTGTGCATGGTGCTCTTACTGTTTACCATTATTTTATTGTTAAGACTCAAAAAATGAAACCGATATCCATGTCACTGAATTAAACACTTAAAAATGATTAAAATGATAAACAATATGTTAGCTATATTTTATAAAACAGTAAAGTTAGACTCTTATCTCACACCATATACAAAAATGAATTCAAAATGGATGAAAAACCTAAATGTAAGAGCTAAAACTATAAAACTCTTAGAAGAAAACATAAGGGAAAGGCTTAAGGACATTGAATTTGGCAATTTCTTGAATATAACACTAAAAGCATTGGCAACAAAAGAAAAATAGAGTGAACTTTATCAAAATTTAAAACTTCTGCATCAAAGGACTCTATTAAGAGAATGAAAAGACAACCCACAGAATGGGATAAAATATTTGCAAATAATATATTAGATAAAGGATTAATATCCAGAATATATAAAGAAATCCTACAAGGGAACAACAAAAAGCCAAACAATCCAATTCAAAAATGGGCAAAAATTCGGACAGATATTTCTCTGAAGAAGATATACGAATGGTCAATAAGCACATGAAAAGATGCTCAACATCACTAATCATTAGAGAAATGCAAATCAAAACCACAAGATACCACTTCCCACCCATGTCTACTACTCAAAACAAAACAAAACCAGAAAATAACTGTTGGCAATGATGTGGAGAAATTGGAAGCCTTGTGCACTGCTGGTGGGAATGTAGAATGGCGCAGTTGCTGTGGAACATGGAATGGGATTTCCTCAAAAAATTAAATGTAGAATTACCATAAGATCCAGTAACTCCACTTTCAAAAGAATTGAAAGCAGGATATTGAAGAGGTATTTTACACCTATGTTTATAGTAGCACTATTCACCATAGCCAAAAGGTGAAAATGACCCAAATGTCCATTGATGGATGAATGAGTAAACCAAATGTGGAATATACACAGAATGGAGTATTACTCAGCCTTAAAAAGGATGGACCTTGAAAACACTGTGCTAAGTTAAGGACAAATATAGTATGATTTCACATAGATGAGATTCCGAGTAGTAGAATTCATACAGACAGAAAGTAGAATAGTGGTTAGAATAGTGGTTACCAGGGGTTGGGGGGAGGGGGGAATGGAGAGTTATTGTTTGATGGGTACAGAGTTTCAGTTTGAGTTGATGAGAAAGTTCTGGAGATGGATAGTAATGATGATGGTTGGACAACCAATGAGAATTTTCTTAGTGCCACTGAATTGTACACTTAAAAATGGTTAAAATGGTAAATTTTTTTGTTATGCATATTTTACCATAATTTAAAGGAGGCATACACACACACACACACACACACACACACACACACTCAGTTGCACTAGCCACATTTCAAGTACTCAATAGCCATGTGTGGCTAATGGTTACTGTATTGAACAACACAGGCCTAAAGTAAAGAATTTGGGGATGGTATATATTTGGTGGGTCCATAAAAGTAATCTGGTTTTCACATGTAGCTCAAAGATGTCAGTTTCATTATTCAAGTCTCAACAATAAAATAATGGTAAACAGTAAGAGCACCATGTACAGTGCTGAGTTCTGACTAGCAATGCCCAGTCATTCTCAAATTGGGAGCCTCCAGGGAACAGGGTTGGCACGTATTTCATTCTGTGTGATTCGGGCAGGTCACTCTGAGCTTCATCTTCCATACCTAAGAGGGCCTGGTGCTTTCCAGATGAGATTCCACATCTTATGCTGAAGTGTAGCAAACCAGTTTCTGAACCCAGAGGCATCATTTTCCCATGCCTGGCACAGAACAGTTCCTGGAAGCCAAATACCTCTAGAAAAAGAGGGGGCTGAGTGTCAAAGGTGAGAAGGGCTGGGGACTAGCTCTGAAGGCTCCAGTCAGGCACAGATGGGGGAATTACTGTTGGGCAAGAGGTGTGTGGGATGCAGAGTCGGGCTGGCAGCTGAGGGCAGACCAGTGGGGAGCTGAAACAGAGAAGCAGTGACCAAAAGGAGAGAAATAGAGGCCAGGGTTAGACCAAAGCCACCAGAATGAAGATGGAGAGCAGTTCTCCCATAACTCATATACTTACTTCCTGCAGAGACACCAGTCTGTACATGTAGAATCCAAGGGAACAGGGGCATGGTGATGGCAGTGGGGGATGGGGAAGGGAGTCTGTGCTGAAGATGAATGAACCCCAAATGCACCAAGGGTGGCAAGTGGGAATAAAACTAATCCAGATGCCAATGTACTTGCTGCAATTGCACAGAGCTCCAGAACCAGGGTGCGCAGTGTGTGTGTGGTGTGTATTAAGTGGGGGATTGGAGGAATGGAGCTCTGTGTGCAGAGGAAGCTGCCCAGAGCTGGGATGAACTTGCTCAGGTCATGCCCAAAGTCATGGCAAATATGAGACATTCTGACAAAGGCCCTATAATTAAAAAATCCTGCAAATAAAGAGAGAGATGTGAAGATGCCATTTCATGATGTTTTCAAGTCCTCACACAAAGCTAGGCCAGGAAAATCTGAACCTTGAGGATGTGCAATGGACAGAAAGAAAGCCCTGTGCCTTGATGGTAGGCAGCAGGAGTCCTCAGCCAGGAAGTGGCCCTTGTTAGGTGGCCCTTAAAGGTGCCATAAAAAGAACCCAACAAACCATTTTTTTGAAGACACAAGCAAATATCTTCCTTTCACAAATACCCCAAACAGCCATCAAGGAGACCCATATCCAAACACACACGTGCTCACAGGAGCCACTTGCAGGAATGGGTACACAACACTCATGTCAGGATTAAATGACTCCATGTATGGTCCCCAAGAGGAGCTCAGCAAATGTGTGTTTAAATGGGTTTTAAATGTATGCTTCTTTCTTTCATATCCACTCACCTGGGGGGAAGTACAGGGGCCACTGTCAAGGACATAGAGCTTAGGGGAAAAGAGAGGGGCTGAACCGGCAGGGAGTGAACCAGGAAGCTGGAGAACTACACTGAACGTGGGCTCTCAAAAGCTTGACTTTACTTAACGGAGCTGAGGGTGGTGGCACCAGAATTAACACAGCCACACGGAACTCTGTGGCTCTGTCTTCCTCCCAGTGGATCCATCAGCAGGAGGACTGAGGTTCAAAAGGAAAGGCCAGGCGCCAGAGAAGGAGGGCTGTTCCTGCAGGCCAACTCCCCAACAAGGCCACCAAAACATGCTCCCAAGTATGCAGCTCAGGCAACTCCATCTCTGAACTTCCTGAGGAATCCAAGTCCAGGACTGTACTCCAAAAGACAGACAAAATGGGCTCCCTGTGGCTGAAAGAGATCCTCTAAAACTATCAAACAGAACCAAATGGCCGTAGCAGAATGAGGGGTTAGACACGCATTCCCCCGCTTACAAAATCTACATATGTTATTGTCATGAAGCTTTCTTTTCTAAAATTAAGCAGAAACCAGCTCCTAGAAGATAATTCCAAAACAGTTACAGCTGGAAAATTTCCCACCTGATCTTCAACAGACCACCTGGCTGCCAGCTGACCGACCCACCCCCGCCCCGCTCCATCCTTGTGGCCCCACTACAGCTCCGATTGCACAGAGGATCGGCTTCACAGACATTCTTTCTCTGATAAGCAGCTGCAACCTCCAAACAAGTTTTGGCTGGTTTATAGCAACTGCGCATTAACCGTCTTTTGTGCCCTTCAGTCATCTTTTGATAGCAGGAGCCAAATTTCACCTCATTTGAATACTTAATCTCCACCCCAAAGTGAACATGGCACATGTGTTACATGCATGTTTACCCATTGTGCACACGCATTACTTCCCTCATAAATATTCATAGAGTTCCCCCCAACCTGCTAAATATGTATGAAAAGCTGACCCTGCAAGACATAAATACCATTTTCTCTCTCCCTCTTTTAAAGCTCACACTTTTGGATTTCCCGGAGGCTGCATTCCTCAATCTGCCAATTGCCTTTTCTCTGGAAATAATGTTTCTTTTTCTTATCTCATGGTTTTTTGTTGCCATAACTAAAGTCAAAATAGCCGGAGCAAGGTTGCTCTACTGCTGTGGAGAAACACCAAGCAGACCACACACGTCACAGGGGTGCTGGGGCTCTGGCTGCACCCGCTGGGCACGGGGCTGGTGTGAGTCACGCAAAGATGCAGTCGTGGGAGGACTAGCTAGTGGGAAAGGTGGGTCAGGAGAGAGATGTGCACAGGCAGGAGGCAGAGGGAGGCGCCTATTCATGGGTGAGGTGATGTGAATGGCTGAGGGCACCATGATCAGGGTGGTGGGGCTGGTCACCAGACCTAATCTCGGCACAGAGAATTGGCCATCCCTTCCAGCCAGTGTGCCCAGCAAGCAGCCAGCACAAAGGTCCCCTCCTCCATGTCATGCCACCTGAAGTGGTGACTTAATGTTCTTTAAAGGGAGAGCAGGGAGGGAGTGGAAAGAGGAAGAGAAGACAGGAACAGTTGGAGAAAGAGAAACATGTAAATGAGTTCCAGGAAAAAACACCCAAAGGGAAACCACAATCATCTAGAAAAAGCAAATGCTTGGTTCCCATTTGCTTCAGCATCCCAATTTCCCTGATCATCCTGTGTTTCCTCTCAATATCTAATCATTTTCCAACAGGATACTTTGTGGTCCAATTTCCCTGCTCTGCTTCCAAATGACTGACAGGGGCAGCACCCCCTGCCATCTTCCACCTGCCCCACTCCTGCCCCATGTGGACGTGGCACTGGTGCAGGGCTCTCCCCCCAGATGAGACATGGAACAAGGGGGAGCACAGTTCCATCTTTGTTAGTACAGGCCCCACGAATATAAACACCATCGAATAAATGGCTTAATTTTATTTCAAAATTGTACAAAATGGCCATAAGCAGCTATAAAAAACTTTGTCTTCAGAACCTGTGGAAATTCAGAAAGAACAACAAAACAGGCATTGTTCACAGTGCAATGGAAAAGCTTTCTCTGGGACAGAAATTACAGCTCTTCCTTCTTTTTTCCTAGCTTTTCATGGTCTCCCTCCCGGAGGGTTCGAATAAAATTGGTAAATCCCAATTCCTGCAGGGAGGGGAGAAGAGAGAGACAAAGAAGGCCTTTAGCATCTGAGCTGATGTGCACTCTCCCTTCCTGACCCTCCAGCAGCTCACTCCTGAGGACAGAGAGAGGCGACCCTGGAATCTGTGACAACCCCTTCGGACTTTCTTGCAGCAGTGCCAAGACTCAGCCATTCACAGGCCGTGTCTGCTCAGTGCTGAGCATTGCGGCTGACTCCTGGGTTTCCTGTGAAGCCCTCTTCACTGTGCCTCCTCAGTGGCTGTTCCCTGCCCACCAGCCCAAAGAGCTCGGACAAATGTCTTCCCCCAACATACCGTCCGATCGCTGTCATACTTTTCTACAAGCTTCCCGTAGTGGTAGTAGTGGAAAGTGGGGTAGGCCTCGACGGCCTCCTGCTGACACAGGCCATGGTTCTTGTCTTTGACGCAGTCTACAGCAGCACAGGTGATCTAAGGGGCAGAGGAAGGAGGGTCAGCACAGGGGACCTCCAGTCAGAGGCCTGGACCCCTCGACACACAGACTGCACCTCTGGCCTACGCCATAGGCTCGCTTTGATTTCTTTTCCCAATAACAGGAATGAGCTGAACCAAAGCATCCCCAGCTCAAAGCTCCCTGGAGACTGATGACACTTGTTTTCAATTTCCAAAGCAGATGGGGAAAGATAGGGGACTCAGCTTGGAATGTCTTCTGACTATGCTTTAAAATCAGAAGCATAATGACCATAAAGGAAATGATGACCTGAAAGTATTTTGTAAATACTACCGGTTCTGTGATATTTTCTGTGAGGCACTTGAGAGATCCATTTGCTTATCAACTAATATTTCCTGAACATCTGCTAGGGGGTGGGGACAATGTCACACCAAGGTTAAGAGCAAGAGCTTTGACGTCAAGTTTCCCAAGTGCAAATCTTCGTTTTCCTGCGCATTAAGACCTAAGGAAAATGACCTAGCCCCTTGGTGCCTCAATTTCCTCAGCTGTAAAATGGGGATAATAATAATATCTAGATTACAAGGATATTATGAAGACTCAGTAAGAGAATTCAAGTGAGGCCAATCTGCTCATGGGATTAGTGGTCAGTAAACATCAGCTGCTATTACACTCACTCCCACTGACAGCATACACAGCCGTCTGGGTCTAGGAGCTCGGTGTCTGGGGAGGCAGTTGGACAGAGTGGTGACTCTAACACAGTGTGATGTGGGAGATGATGGAGGTGGGCCGGAGTCCCAGAGCACCCGGGAGAGTGGAGCAAAGGCACTCTGCATGGTTTGCCATCTGAGCTCATCTGGAGGATGAGGCAGACAAGCCAGGGAGCACGTTCCAGAAACTGGGAAGAAGTTCAGCATGACTAAAGCAATCAGTTTTTAGTCAGAAAGAGGTTCCCAAATTGGCCATTAGCCTCTTCTTGCCCATATAACAAATTCCACATTCTGGGTAGTTTTTCCTTACTGTGTGTTGTTATTTCAAAATAAGAGGGTAGTGTAAAGCAGAAATGGGGAACTTTGCTCCTGTTGAGAGTCAAAGCCAGGGAAAGAGGGGGAGAGGTCCATTGTGGCAATATGGCACCACAAAAGTATCACACTACAGAGGAAGGGCAGATTCTGACAACAGGGAAGGCCTCTCCTTAGGCAACATGTATTAAACTATCTGTTCTATATGCTAGGGGTACAGAGAGGACCTTGACAAAGTCCATTCGTCAAGCAACTGCCACATGACAAATGAGATCATTTCAGAGCCTAATGGATGCTTTAAAGAAATTAAAAGAGGGTGATTCAATAAGAATTAAAAACTGTTGAATAACCATGATTCACACAGGTCTTTGCTGGTTGTTAACATTTGGACAGAGGGCTCCTTTCCAGATAGGAGAGCCCTGCGGGCCACCAACAGCCAGGTTTACTGATCACTTACCTTGTGCCTGGGTGTGTGGGCTACTGTTGTGTGAGCTGCAGGACTGACAGCCAGAGTGAAGAATTAGCTGTGGCCCTCCCCTGGCCACCAGCATGCCACATGTGCCCCTCCTTGGCCCTCATGCTTCCTTCTACCTCTTCAGCTACACAACGGTCTATGTAGTAAGACTTTTTAGAGCAGAGTTTGCAAACGCACTGCACACAATCCGTAGTTGGCTTTCAGTCCTGTTCTATTTGGCCCACACAGAATTAAAAAAAATAAATTTGAATTAGCTGCCAACATGGAAAAGGAGCCAAAGATTTAATATAGAAATGTGGCTTTCCAGCTTCTCTTTAAAAGTCAAAAGTTTTGATGGCATTTGTCCTCCATTCCCACAGGAAACAACTGGCTAGAGCAGAGAGGCAGCTGTGTCCTTCAGGCAGGCCACACATGCCTTTCACCAGCGCCCGACTGGAGCCCAATTCACTCGGGCCGGCAGGCCGGCCCCTGCGGGCTTCTGAGAAGCCCAGCTTGCCCTCAGAGCACTTTCTGAATTATTTAGAAACATGAGGCAGATGCTCCTCTGGCTGTCTGCAGGGTTCCCTTTCTCGGGACAGGCGCTGTGGGGCCGGCCTTGTGGACATGGTGTCCATGACTCTAATCCCGCTCAACAGGCAGCTGAGGGCCTTCTGTGTCCAGCCTGGGCCAGGGCAGCTACTCCTCTGCTACACTGTGAAAGTGTTTGATGAGTGTTGCTCCAGGCTGCTGTTCTTCCTCCCACTCTAAATTATGCATTTAATTTGTATACATGCCCTGGAGCTGTTGGAAACATATTGTGTGGTTTTATAAATCTACTAAATTAAAAATGTGTACTTATTCTGAATCACTTAAGCTAGCTTCCAGAGACAAGTGCGGCCCCCCTTCCCAAAGGAAGCAGCTTTGACTCTTTAGAAAGAAGGCAGCAAATAAAGCTCTTCTCAGCTTGTCCAATGTCACCTAAGTGCCTGCCCCCTTATACCCACTCAAAATCTGCACCCATCACCTATGGCACAGAATGAACACCTTGGCGTGAATTCCTGAGGCACATGCTGTCAGTGCCCTGCCATCTCCCCTAAGCCCAGCACTTGCCAGTGTCTGCAACTCTCGGCCTGAGAGCTTCCTCCCAGCCACAAGGAGCTGGATGTAAGGCCAGTGACAGGTGGGGGGCAAAGACAAGTAACCCAGCTTCCTCAACCTTCGAGTGGGACGGCTCTGTGGCATGTTTCCTGGTGAGGTGTCCCATGAACCGAGCCTCAGTTACCCACATCATCTGCCCATACACACCTGCTTTGGTTCCTTCCGTTTCCCATCTCACTTCCTCCATCCCCTCTGGAGCTTCCTGAGACCACCTCCCAAATAAATTCCTTGCATGTGAGCCCCAGGCATGGGGCCTGCTTTGGGGAGAACCCAAACTCTAACAATCCCTGTTTATTCAATTCTAACTCTGCCCCTTTCCAGCTGAGGGACTTAGGGCTAGTCATTTAACCTCCCTTAGATTCAATCTCCTCAGCTGTAAAATGAGCATAATAACACTAGTTGCACAAGCTATTGTGAGGACAACATGCCGTAAGAGCTCTCAGGAAATATCAAATGTGTTATTATTCCTTCACTCAGGTGACATTTCTGTGGGCCGAAGGTGTCAAGATGGGGGAATTCAAGGACAAATGAAGTCTCTCCCTCAGGGTGCTTTTGCTCCTGATGGGCAGCAGCCAGACCTGCAAACAGGAGGATCTACACAACAGGCCAGGTCACTGTGGTGATGTGGACCAGTCACAGAGGAGGCCCCCTAGAAATGGCCTTCACACTCACTCCTGGCCCCACCGCACCCCAGGCTGGGCACACCTTGATCTTGGTGTGCAGTGAAAGGTGAGCTCCTCCTAGCCAGCCCAGTGGCCCCTGCCCCCTGCAGGGTCCACCAGCCTTCCACCATGGCTCCTTCTCCTCTGCACCCCTTCGATAACGCCATCCTTTCCAACATTAACAGTTTGCAGCACCTTCTCCACCACCACGTCAACTGATAAGTCCCCAAGTAAGCTCCTGGGAGGGGGTAGAGTCTCCCCAGTTAAAATATGAGCTGCCTCACACTGCTTTATTGATTCAGTAAAATAAATCTCTGCAGGAGCTAATATTGACTTTGGCTATGACAACTGAAGTAAGCAACCAACTGCATATTGATTGGGCAAAGAGCAGGGACCAGCTTTTGGGTGGGGAAAAAAACATGACTCCAGCTAAGAGGTGGCAGAGTGGAGTCAAGAAGACTGGGAGGCAGGAGACCCATTTCTGGCTGTGAATGACCCGCTGGGTGTCCCTGGGCAAGGAACACAGCTCTTCTTGGGCTATGATTTCTCCTGAGTAAAAGGAGAAGGCTGATGGGCCAGGAGTCCCCACACACCAGCCTGTTGCCAGCACAAGAGCCAGCTCCTAAAAACCACAAATTTCTGGAACCATCCGCCAGACTCCGATCTGACGGTTGCAATCATAGCACCATGCCTGGACACAGAGAGGGCACCAGGAACTTTAGCCCACCAGGCCAGAGGGCTGGCTTCCCTGCAATTACAGCGAGGTTACGAAGTGCATCCCTGAAAGCAAGTGAGGGTGACCCCTGGCTTGGAATAAAGGAAGTTGAAAGGTGGAACAGAAGGAACAAAAGACACAGAGGGAATGAACCTAGGAAAAGGCCAGCAACATTACTGGCCCCAGTTAAGACAATTATACAAAAGCTTATCAGCGTCTAAGAGGAGAGGCATCCAGGAAACGGGGCCCTGGGCATCAGCAGAGAGGAGCAAGGAAGATGCGGGGCTCTCTGCTGCCCACTGCGGGCCTGGCAAGCCTGACCTCATCTGTACTGACGAAGGTCAGGCCACAGGACGGGACACACAGACACTTGGCAGAGGCTTAGTGGGCAGAGAGGTGCCAAGGTCATCGTGGGCTGTCCCTCCAGGGTTTCCCCAGCCACCCTGGTGCCTCGGCTGCACCGTGCTCCCTGACACCACGTTCCCCAGCATGGCTGGGAGGAGCAAGCCAGGCTCCGTGTATCAGTGATGTGTCAGGATCCCTTCACAGATCTCCTGGAGTCTGAGAAGACCTGAGCAACCAGGGGCCGGGAGACCACGCACAGCTCAGCCATTCTCCTGCCTGCCCAAAGTGCCCAGTGTTGCGGGGGAATGGTGATGGCAGCGATGTCAAGTGGCTGCTATTCCAGTCCTAGGGACAGGCAGCCTGGGCTGTGCTGGACATCCCTGGAGCCCTCGAAGCAGGAGCAACCACCCTGTTGTGTGCACAGGGCCTGGGTGGTACAAAAGGGGGACAATGGTGAGGGACACGGGACATAGAAAGCCCCTTCCTACCACACCCTCTCAGCACAGGGCAAGTGGAAGGCAGAGGAGAAAAAATGTTTCTGGTCCTTATACTCCCTGCTGGCAAGGATGACACGTGCCTCAAGGGCACAGCCAAGGTAACCATGGGACTCCCTAAGACCAGGGAAGGATCCCAGGGTCTGGGTCTGCATGGGAATCAGGTCCCCAGATGTCCTGACACTGCATACAGGTGTCTGCCACAGTCTGGTTTCCTCTAACTTACTGTCCCCATCCCACTCTCTCAGGCCCTCTCTCTCAGGGCCTGTCATGGTGATCCGAGCTCTTGTATCTCTGCCTCCACCCAGTCTGGGGGGTACCTGTAGGACTGGCCTCCTTTTAGCCTTGATCAAAGCCTGTGAGCCCTGCCGCTGCCCAGCCCTAGGATGGTCACCTATCTCTGCTCACTGTGCTGCTTCACGGACACCACCTACCTTCCCTGCCTGCCTGGCCTGTGTATCGTCTAGGACTCTGCTTAGCGTGTGCTTGGCCCTGGTTCCTTCCAGCCTGCCCTGGCCCAGCCTGAGGATTCCACCCAGGAAAATAGGTTACCACAGCAGAAATGCACATGACTCTGGGTCTGGGAGTGAGTGTAGGTCCCCACACAACCGTGTGTTTCTGGGGCCTCTAAGGGGAGAGGTTCCTGCGACCGAATCACAGGGCTAGGAAGAGTCCTCGCTATCATCCATACCAGCATTCCAACTAGTACAGATAAGAAGGACTGAAGTGATATGACTTCTGTGAGTTCAGGGGTCTTTCCCTGCCCCACAGCCCTTGACCAGGGAGCCACACATGCCCCCTCCCGGTAGCCCCCACTGCCCTGGCTGCTGGAGCTGCCTGGGGACGTGCTGGGAGACCTGTACTCTAATCCAATCTGCGGCTCCAGCTTGTTAATTTTATGCTTCATCAGTCGGCAGCTGCAGGAGCCTTTCACTTAGGCAGGATGAGCTCCACTGACACAGCCTTGCTCTCCTCCACTGTGGCCTCCTCCAGGTGACTTCTGTTGGGTTTTCTTATTTGTGTGTTTAATTATATACGTAATGCATGACTACAATCCTACTATAAAAAGGTATGAGTGCTAAAATAATAAACAGATGACCCTTTCCACCCTCCTCCAAGTGTGTGCTGTAATGGTTCGGTGTATTCCTTTTGGTTGATTTTGTAGCATAAATCCCACCTACTCTATCTTGCCATATAAAGAGAATGTCCTGGTCCCAAGGAATCCCCTGTTCACAGGCCTCAGCAGAACTGTACCTATTTAGGGATGGGCACCTGAATGGGAGGGACAGAGGCAGGTGCAGGACTCTGGCAAGGTAAAGTTGGAGGTGGGGCAAGAGATGGACAGGGGTATCTTACCTTCCGGTCATCTTTGAAGGTGTCAGCAGTGGCAGTAAAGTGGGGGATGACCTTCTTACAATGTGGGCACCCTGCATGAGAGGGAGAGAGTGTGCACAGGGCAATGTTTCACATAAGGGAGGCCACCAAGCCAAGGGTACTTCCTGGGACCTCTGAAGAGGCCTTTCCAGGAGCCCACCCCTGCCCACTCCACAGTCTGAATCCATGTGTGAACCCTGCCACTCAAATCACCCCCGCATCTGATCCATCAGAGGGGGGGCTTTGTAGGAACCCCTGCTGGAAGCACCAGGTGCATCCCTGTCCCAGGGCATCCCATCTTATTCCTAAGGGGCTGGAGGTGGGGAGATGGTCACTGTGGTCATGTTCTGCAGGCTCTTTCCATAGGGGCTACCCTCAGTACTAGGAAGAGCCTGATCCAAGACATACAGGGAGATTCGGGCTTAGAAAAGGAGGATGTGTGCTTGGGATTCTCTGAGCCTATTACAGTCTTCTCTTGCCCCAGCAACAATGGTAAATCTCTCCATTTCGTGACTAAGAGAAAGTGGCACTGGGACAGGTGTGGGCGAGGGGCAACTACTCTGTCTGAGCCCCTCTGCTCAGGCTTTGCTGCTAACTCCCACATTTGTAGTGACCTCCACCCCACCCCACCCCACCCTACCCCAGACTGGGAGCAGCCAAACCAGGCCCCTGGTCCTCCAACTGTCCTTTCACCCTTCCTTTACAATCAACCTGGACCTCGAAAGCTGGGAACAAAAGGGCCAAGGTCAGGCTGAGAAGAAGACGAATTACAGGGAGTTGTCAGACAGTGCCCAAGTCCCCCAACACTTCCTGTCCCAGGGAAATGCCTGTCAGAATGGACGAGAGCCTGTAACGTTACACTGGTGTGCGCCCCTCCCCCAGACATCTTGTCTCTTGTTCTGTGAGCCTCCCTGGACCCCTCCAGCTCTGACAGCAGTGTCTCAGGCATGGGGCAGGGACCTGTTTGCAGGTCACATTGTCCTCCTGCCAAGGAGGACAGAAGGACTTTGAGGGGAGGATTTTCCTGTGGTAATTAAAGCTGATCAAAGCACAGGTGGGAGAGGCCACATGCCCAGTGTGGAGACCTGGCTCCAGCCCACAATGCCAGACAAACGGCCACCACACACGCCTCCCGCAGCCTGGGGAAAGCAACGGAGTTGACACAGTGGGAACAGCAATGGCTTTCTCATCTTTCTTCTTTTTAAAATAAGATAATAATGACTGGCACTTCAAAGAGTTTTGTGAAAATAAATTAAGGCTAAGCTACAAGTTTAATCTGAATTTAGCACTTGGTCTGGGTCCTGAGATGGGCGGGACCACCCATATGGCCTGGCTGGTGGCAGGGCCAGCTGGCCCCAAAACAGCGTGGGGGTGACGGGGAGGGGGCTTAGAGGGATTTTCCCAAAATCTGACACAGAAGGGGCAAAAGAGACCTGGGCTGGTTATGGGTTATATTGGAACTAAATGAGACAAAGTGGGGGCCGGCCCGTGGCTCACTCAGGGGAGTGTGGTGCTGACAACACCAAGTCAAGGGTTAGGATCCCCTTACTGGTCATCTTTAAAAAAAAAAAAAAAAATGAGACAAAGTGCCTAGCACAGCCTAACTCACAGCAGATACCGGACGGATGACTTTTTAATCACCTAAAACGGCAATTACAGGTAACACTTCAGTAATTTGACCTAACACAGAGAAAATAGCTTGAACTCATGAAAATGTCATCCTATAAAGGAATGATGTTATATAATTTTCAGAACATTTAAAAAGCACAATCCACTGGTTAGCAAGGCAACCGCAGGCCCCTTATGATTGGCACATGCCCACTAACAGCATTAGGCTGGTCACCTACCCCCTACCTCAAAATGTGGTTTCACATTAATTTTTTTTATTTTTAACCTCTTTGCTTATTGAAAGCATAAATGTAACTATCAGCCTAGTGTAAATTCCTGCTACCATCGATTTAAAATATCTAGGCCTCAGATTAATGGCCTTCTGCTGCATCTAATTTTCTCATTATCCAAAAGAAAGAGCACAGCAGATGAATCACTGGAGGGGAGGCTGTTTTAGGAAGTGCACGAAGATGTTTCCAAGAGGTGTCAGGTGGGCCAGAGGTGGCATAATTATTTTATTCTGGCTTTTAAAAATAAAAGGCACCACCTCAGTGTAGCAGGAAACCAAAGAAGCCTCCCAGAGTGGGGAGAGAAGAACAAAGACCAAGGAGAGGATGCAAAATTCCAGTTCCAGAGACTCAGCCACGCTGGCCTAAGGGCAGTCACCACGACGGACCATTCAGAGTAAAGGGAACAATGAAGAGCAGGAGGCGGGATATGGGGGTGAGATGTGGGGGAGGCAGACATAAGCGGAGCGGGGATGTGGGGACTGGCGTTTTTTCTTTTATGCCTTTATAAGGTGTTTTACTTTACTGTTTGACCTTTCCGTCATGTTTAGATTCCTTATATAGTATTCTTTATTCTTTACATATAAATATAGCATATGTAAATATAGTAATGTCTATATATAAACAAAATAAAAAGATAAATTTCTTTTCCTTGGATACTCCCCACCGACACACACACTTCTAACCCACTGATAAAGACGTATCTCCCTAGGAGTACTGGGGCAAGATATAGGGACAGAAAAATGTGGTAAGAGAGATGGACTCTAAAGACCAAGCCCTTTGCCAGAAGTTGAGTCACTCAGTGACACTGCCCTAATGGACTGTGTTTAGAGTTCTGTCAGAGTAGACTGAGCTCCTTGAGGCCTGGCAGGGACATGTCTCCTTCCCTGTACCCTGGGCCCAGGACACTGCCCAGCACAGAGCTGTTATTTGATGAAGGAAGGAAGGAAGGTCATTCTCATCAGCAGCCTGGCAGGGTCAGAGTCTCTATCCCAGACTGCCTGGAGATTTAGGAACCTGCTTGCCCCAGCAACCAGTGTCTGTCATGGCCTTTGTGTCTGCCATGAAGGTCAGGAGGGAGCTGGGGAGAGGCAGAGGGAATGCCGTGGCTCTGGTCCAGACGTCTGGGAAAGAGAGGGGGCATTTCTGGGGAAGGTATCTAGTCTGGACTTTGAAAAGCCCATCCAGTGGCTGGTCAAGGAAGCTTGCTTCTGTAGTCAGGCTCTAGCTTGCTGCTGAGAAAACTCACTCACTGAATGGTGCCTGAGAGAGAGACCCACCCAGGCTGCAGGAAGGGGCTGTCACTGACTCGCTGCAAGGCGCTGGGCAAGCCATGCGTTTCCTGGTCTCAGTTCTCTATCCCCCATCTGCCCAGAAGGAAGAGGGTAACTTCTCAAAATCTACTCAGGATTCTGGCACACTCTAAGAAAAGATGAGGACAGCAAGAAGCTCAATAAGGAAGTGAGAGAGAACAAGTCCCACTCTGAGAAGAAAGGGGAAAGGGCAGAAGCAGAGGGCGGGAGGCTGGCTTGGTGGGGATCGGGTCTGAGGCTGTGGTGGCCCCTCGCAGACAGCGTGAGCCGAGAAGAGACATCACGAACTACTGACACTTGAAAAGTGCGGGCGGGAGGGGAGCACACAGGAGGGCCGGCTACAACTGAGCGGGTTTATGACTGGATTGAGTGCCTGGCTTCTCTGTAGACATGGATTTTATTATCCTCACTCCATTAAGCAGAGCTGTAACCTGGGGAAGAGAGAGAAGGGAGACGCAGGAGTGCGAAATTCTAAGACCCTTTCCTTTTAAGTATCAATTAACTTCAACGTGGGAATACACAAAAACCCAAGGTCACAAACACCAATGTTAGCAGACGTGTCACTTCCTCAACTTAAGCTTTGATTAAAACGAGAATCACACGGGAGCTCGGGTGTGAACATGCCTGTGCCTACCATGGCTTCACACCCAGCTGGCTTCGGTGCCATTTGGGAAGGTCAGGGAGAGGGGCTTCCCAGGTTCTGAAGGTGGAGTCACTGCCTGGAGGAGGAGTGGGCAGCTGAGGGGAGGGAGGAAATGGCCAGATAGGGGCAGCAGGAGGAGCCCAGGGCCAGGAGGAGACCAGTCCCTGCCATGGACAGAGCGGAGGGCTCTAGGCCTGACCCAAGGAAGGCTTCCCTAAAGCGAGGGGAGAGCCTGACAGGGCTGACGAGAGGAGGCCCTGGAATGAAGCGGGGAGCCTGCTTCATGGTGGAGATGATCCAGTCACCAGCAGCTGCCTGGGTTCTCTGGGTAGGGGAAGGGCGGGCAGTTCTCCATCCAGTTGGGCCAACCCTCTTTCCGTGCCCCACAGTGGGCACCCAAGCTACTTACAAGGGGCGTAGAACATGACCAAGGTGTGCTTCTTCTTCTTGAGGGTCTCTCGGAAGCTGTCCCCTGCCAGATGCAACACGCTTGTCTGCTGCTCTTCCCAAGTGGGCTCGGGGGGTGGGGGGGCCTCAGCGCTGCAGGAAGCCAGGGGAGGGGAGGCAGTCAGCAGGAGGGATTCATGGCCAGGCAAGCACATCGGCCCCGCCACGTCCCAGCCACTCAGGGGAACACGCAGGAAGAAATCACGTTGCATTTCTTCTAAAATTTCATTTTAAAACCTCGGTTTAAACACAAATGAATCTGTACCATCAGTAAAGATACTGATTCCCTCCAAGGAGCCTACTAAGGAGCCATTTCGTGAAGACAGAAGACCTGGTCCCACTTTAGGGCAGGGCAGCCTCTAGGTGTGAGCCATCACCTCCTTGCCAAGGGCACAGAACCTCCTCCACCTGGGCTCCCTCCTTCCTGTCCCCTCTGAGACCCTACATCACATATTACCTTCTGCTCCTAAACCTTTGTTCTGGTGGAGAGAGCATGGGCCAAGAAGTGAAGTGGGCCTGGTTCAAATCCAGACTATTTACTAGCTGTGTGACCTTATTTAGGTAAGTTACTAAAGCCCTCTAAACCTCCACTTTCTTTTCTGTTAAATGAGGACAATGGTACCTATAGAGGGGATCTTTAAGGAGTGCAGAGACAGTGTATGTAAAGCACCTTGTCAGTCAGCAACTAACATTTACTGAGAGCCTATACGCTCTAATAAGTGACAGGCGCTGAATAGATGTCTATAGTTTTACAGGTCTCCTCCTGTCCACTAGTTCCCTCCACTCTGCCTCATACAAGTATGGATCTCCAGGGTCTTCTAAAAGCCGTTGCTGCCCTGGCTGCCCTCTACAGCCCAACCTCTCTTTCTTTCTCTGAGGAGTGTCTCTGAGGGGTGGGCTGCAGCCATGTCGCCACGTCCTCCCCCTGCACTCTTACCACAGCCCCTACACTGCCTGGTTCTGACCGCCAGGCCTGGCACCCAGCTGAGTGCGGCACCGAGTCACCCCGACACTCTCGCCTTTTGGAAGCCCTCTCTACCAAGCACCCGCAGCACCCCACTTCCCCGCCTTTCCAGCGGCCCTCCCTCTTCCAGTTCTATTCCAAGCCTCCACAATTCTCAAAAGGTCTCACCCCTGCATGGCTTCAGTGATTCCCATGGATGAGGATAAATTGAGTCCTGACCTCTCATCTAAGCCCCCTATTTCCAGGTGTTTTTTGGGTACTTCCAGCTGGAGGTCCCACTGTTACCTCAAACCCACCATAACATACAACATATTACTCTTCCCTTCTCCTCCACGCCTCCGAAATCAGCTTCCCTGTCCCATCTTCTGTTTTGGTTAATGGCACCCCTGTGTGCTGACCAAGACTGGTCCCTGCCAGCCTTCCTGTCTTCCTCCCTCTGCTCAGTCTCCAAGTCCCCTGGCTCCATGGCCAATACCAGCCACCCACCCTTTCTGCTATGCCCTTTCTCTGAACACTGCCTCTCTAGGCCGGCCTGTTGGCAGGCATGTCTGTCACCCATGACTTGGCCAGCTGTGCACATGCCTGGAAACACCCTTCACCTCGCCTGACGCCGTCTGCTCACCCTGCTTCTGGGTGACATGCCTCAATCCTTCATCCTAGAGCCATCTGCTGCTCATGCTCCACCTGAAGGATGTCTTCCAAGTGCCCGAAAGAACTACTATTTGTCCCAGGGCAGGACCCTTAAATTCTCTGAACCTAAGTTTCTTCATAATGAAACCGAAATAAAGACTCTGGCCTCAGTAGGATTTGAGGAGTAAACGGGGCAAAAGATAGGAAAGCATCCTGCAAAGCTGGATGTTATTACCACTTATGCATTGATGCTGTCAGTTAAAGCCCTCACGACGGCTAGGATCAGTCATAAAAACAGCTTCCTTTGAATATTTCCACATCGTGCACTGTGCTAAGCACTTTTTACAATAGTCTAATTCTCTAGGCAAGTCTATGGGGAAAGTATTGTTCTTTTGTACAGATGGGAAAATAGGGCTTAGAAGGGTCGAATAAATGGGTCTGGGTCATGATCTGAGCACAGGTCTCTGAAACTCCAAAGCCCACGCTCTTAAGCCAGAGCTTCTCAGACTCTCAGTGGCAGTACCTACATAGGAAGGACAAAGCCCTCTGTGCTCACTGTGTCCAGGGCTCTGGAACACTGATTAGCAATGATAAATGCTCCTGAGTCCCTCAGCTCTCTAACCACAAGTCCAGCCCCACAAGGACCTGGCCTGATCCCCCACCTGCTCAGTCCCTGACAGTGAGCCAGCCCTGGCACCTGAGCAAGGTGTGTGTGAATAAACCACCTGCTTCAGACACAAGAAGCCCCAGAGGAATGAGCACCTTGCCCCTTTTGCTGGAAAACCACCACTCCCCTCTGGTCCCTGGCTGCTCTTGGAATCCTCCCCCAATGGATGAGCAGGACAAAATGGAAGAAGCGAGGCCAAGACCTCATCAGCCCAGTCACCTCTTGCCAGAGGCCTCTCCTGAACCTGGTAGTAACTTTGTTCCTAGTCTATAAGCTGGTGTTATGGAAAATACCCATTCACACCTCCCGAACCAGAGCTTCAGGAACAGGAGTCCCAGAATCTGTGCTTCAAATAAACATCTTATATCTTTTCTGGATGCTTACATATGTCCAAGTTTGAGGACGAACGTCCTAACAAAGTAACTCAATCTAGATACCATTATTTAGCAGAGTTCTCGCATTGCTTTGTGACTTTAAAGTCTTGGCTGTCACACCAGCATCATTACCCCATGCACCAGGCACCGCTAAAAAGGCTGGAATATGTCTTCTTTTACTTCATCTTCCCCCCACTGCTGAAATGAGGAAATATCCTTCAATATTCAAATTATGTGTGAGCATTCGAATGGGGATGGGGGCAGGGAGGCAGAAGAAAGGTTGCTCGGCTGTATCCTGATAACAACCTTTGCTATTCAGGCATGGCTGGAGGCTTCCTCCAATTCCCAGGGCATCTGTGTGATGGGCATAGTCAGTCCCCTCATGGGAGGGGGAAGTGCCGAGAATTGCAGGTTCCAAACTCCTTGGGTGAATAGGGGGTCTTTGGGCCAGTAATCACAAAGCTACTCAAGTTCTCTGAACTTGCAGGCTGTATGGGTTGAATTGTGTCCCCCACAAATTCATATGTTGAAGTCCTAACCCCTAGTACCTCAGAATGTGACTGTACTTGTAGATGGAGCCTCAAAAGGGAAAATTAAGTTAAGATGACATCATTAGGGTGGGCCCTAACCCAATATGACTGGGGTCCTTATAAGAAGAGGAGACTAGGTCACAGTCACACACAGAGGGAAGACCATGTGAAGACACAGGCAGAAGATGGCCAAGGAGAGAGGCCTCAGAAGAAACCAACCCTGCCAGCATCTTAATATCAAACTTCCTGCTTCTAGAATTTTAAGAAAATGAGCTTCTGTTGGTAAGCCACCCAGTCTATGGTACTTGTTATGCTGACCCTACAAAACTAATACACAGGCTGAGGGGGCTCTTTGGAATCTTTATGCTCAACCCCAAACCACTGCAGTCTGTGCTGTGGACACTACAGGAGGCTCAGTCAACACCAGCAAACCTGGGATGACGTGAGTCCAGCTCTGGATGTGAAGAGCTCTGTTTCCTTCATTTATTCAAAGGGGGTGGAATAAAATGCAGATGGTGAGACATGGGGCTAAGGAGACTGAGACAGAGAAAAGGAAACACATGGCTTAGTGGATCTGACACAACTGCATCCAGAAAAGCTACCTAAACCTGCTAGAATGGACACATGACCAGCACAAGAGGAGTGGCTTTAGGACTGAGGAAGTCAAATCTGT